TAAAATAAAAAAAATTAAAATAAAAAAAATAAAAAAAATTAAAAAAATTAAAAATAAAAAATAAAAAAAAAATAAAAAAAATAAAAAATAAAAAAATAAAAAAAATTTTTCTAAATTATTTAAATTGATATTTTAAGTTTTGCAGTTTACAGATTGTTTTTCCTTTTATCTTCAGTAAAGCTTCGAATTATTATTGGTTAATACAAAAGGTATATGACTTGAAAAGCTTAAAATAATTTTTTCACAGGTCATATCATACAAACTGCTTTGCCCTGTAAACAGGTTGCTCTAGAATGGTACAAAAGGTGTTCCTGTAATAGCTTTAATTTGTTTATCAAAGCCCAATTGGTCTTTATTAGAGGGAGTGTTTCCTAATATGTATACGATATGCGTATGAATTTTTATGTCAATTATTTGACTGCTGACCATCAGGAACAGAAAGATGGTGAGAACTTTTAAATAGAAAATACAGATGGCTTATGCTCAAGGTTTTCAGGCTTTACATGAAGGTCAACGTTGCCTTTTGCAGGGACGCCTGCTATTTTTGTGAAGCCTGCTGACCCGTAGAAGATGAAGCCTCTGCTATGGGGAGTTGCATATTAATCGTATTATAACCAAAAACAAAAGCTTCACTGTGTGAAAGCATGTGTGATTGCGGTATGGATAAGGTGGCCACCTTATGACTGTTTGAAAGACAATTGTGTGCAAGAGAAAAGTATTGTGTGGGTTTATATATCCATATATATATATATATATATATATATATATATATATATATATATATATATATGTGTGTGTGTTTGTAGACTTGGTAATGCATTACATAGATATTAAGAGTTTTTAACCAAAGAGTATTTTTTACATTGTAAGGACCTTTAAGTAGAGAGTTCAGTGCTCTCTTGTTAAGACATTCATTTTTGTCTCATCAGGGAATTTTTGTGGTGCCAGGAGTGATAGATGCTGATGCTACAGGAGTCATCAAAATAATGATATATACTTTAACTCCACCAGTTTTCATTCCAGCTAACAGCAAAATAGCACAGCTGGTACCTTTCAAGGCGATGGTGCCCAAAACAAAATCACGGATTCGAGGGGATCAAAGTTTTGGTTCCACAGGTCCTCCTGAGGTGATGTTAGCCATAGACATAAAGCAGGGAAAACCTGAGGAGAGTGTAGTTCTACAGCATCCTAATGGTCAGTCCAGCACTATGACTATGCTCGTTGATACTGGAGCGGATGTTACCATCATCCCCAGACACAAATGGCCAAACACCTGGCCCGTGGTGATGGCACCTGCAGGAGTGAAAGGTGTAGGTGGTGTACAGCAAACGTGGATCAATAGAGATGTAATAAGTTTTCATTTTTCTGACAGTGCATCAGTGAGTACAAGGCCCTATGTGCTATCTTTGCCAGTGGGTTTGATAGGTCGAGACCTGCTAGGTCAGATGGGAGCACGCCTGGTTACCTCTCTTTTTCAGGAGTGGCCATTGAAAAGCAGCCAACCTTGAAGTTGAAGTGGAAAACAGAAAAACCCATCTGGGTCGATCAATGGCCACTGAAGGAAGACAGGCTGCAAATAGTACAACAACTGGTTCAGGAGCAATTAGATGCAGGCCACATTGTTCCATCTACAAGCCCATGGAATACTCCTATATTTGTCATTCCAAAAAAGTCAAGAAAATGGAGACTATTGCATGATCTACGAGCCATTAATGCAGTCATAGAGGATATGGGAACCTTACAACCGGGTTTACCCTCCCCTACAATGATTCCACATGATTGGGCCATACTGATAATAGATCTAAAAGATTGTTTCTTTACTATCTTCTTGCATCCAGATAATACTGCAAAATTTGCCCTTAGGAAACAAAGCAGAGCTAGCAAAAAGGTTTAAATGGGTTACTCTTGCACAGGGGATGAAAAATTCACCTGTGATGTGTTGGCTCTATGTTGCTTGGGCTTTGCAGCCGTTTCGTAATCAGCATCCTGAGCTACTGGTTTATCACTACATGGATGATATTTTATTAGCAAGTAAAAATTTAGATATCCCTGTGTTGTTGTTGCAGTTAGAACAGGAATTAGGTCAACGTGGTCTGCTAATCGCTCCTGAGAGGATTCAGAGGCAAGAGCCTTGACAGTATCTAGGTTGGACCATTACATCTAGTATTGTAAAGCCACAGAAGTTAACCATTAACACTGACATAAAAACCTTGACTGATGTGCAGAAGCTACTTGGTGACATACAGTGGGTGAGACCTGTTTGTAGAATAACCATAGCTCCTCTGATGCCTTTGCTAGGGTCTGATGCTAATGCAGACCTTTGGAGAGACTTGTCAGACGTGCAAAAAGCAGCTATAGTTAACATCTCAGGTAAGATAGCTGCAGGGTACGCCTGTAGAATACTAGAAGATCAGCCAGTCCAGTATCTGATTGTCAACTCTGGAGGGAGTAGACAACATCCCTTAGGTGTCATCTGTCAAATAGCAGTCAGTGTCAGAACTTTGGAATGGGTATTCCTGCCCTATCAGCCCAAAAAGACAATCATGACACAACCTGAATTGTTTGCACACCTTGTCATGAAGGGAAGGCGATGGATTTGTGAATTAACTGGAAGGGATCCATCTGTAATATTTATGCTGGTCGCTCAGGGCTATTTGGAGTGGTTGTTTGAGACATCTGGACCATTCCAAATAGCTATGGCAGATTTTAAGGGACTGATCACAAATCATTATCCATCAGACAAGTTATTGCCTTTGTTACAACATCAGATTATTGAACAGCTTATGTTGCGTTCAGATGATCCTGTAGAGGGGATTACTGTTTTTACAGCTGCTGGAAGGACATCTCGATGTGCCCTGGCAGGGAGGAATAGACTGGAAATGGAACTTACTTCCAGGTGTTACAGATGGCACACTGCAACCCCTTAACGGTATAGAGTGTAGTGTAGACCTGTTCAGCCTGCCACGGAAGTGAGCATTGGCTTGGGGGTCAATCCTCGTGGTTTGCAGGCATTGCAACTTTAGCAAATGAATGTCACTCATGTTGATAAGTTTTGAAGGTTGAAGTGTGTGCATGTGTGCATTAACACTTTTTCTCATGCTATATGGGCCTCTGCTCATACTGGAGAAGGTGCCAGATATGTCATCCGTCATATGCATGCACGTATAGCAGCCCTCAAAGTTCCCTCAAAAATTAAGACCGATAATGGGCCTGGTTATACCTCGCAGTGTTTTCACAGATTCTGTAAGAATTGAAGTATTTCTCACGTTACCGGCATAGCTCATTCTCCTACGGGACAAGCTATTGTCGAATGAGCTCATGGAGTCCTGAAATCCCTTTTGCAAAAACAGAAAGGGGGAGAAGAGCTGGATAGCCCACATAACCGACTTGCAAAAGTGTTATATGTTTTGAATTTTTACGGTTGACGGGTGGAAGATCGGACCCTCCCATTGTAATTCATAATACTTCTATGCAGTCAGGCTTAGTAAATCCACAGGTAACAGTGAAAGTTCAGTACAATAACCCACAAACCAGGGTCTGGAAGGGGCCTGCAGAGGTAAAACTAACTGGCAGAGGGTATGCTTGTGTCCTCACAGATACAGGAGTTCGGTGGCTGCCTACACGTTGGAGAAGACCTTGGAAAGGGAGTGATTCTGCAGAACAAGGTTGACACTGTGGTAGATAAACTATTCAGAATTACAGAGTTTTTTCCAGTATTATTATAAGGTAGTTTTATAGTGTAGTATCATATAATCAATAGAAATTTAGGCTTTAAAAAGAGTGCTTGGTGTGAACTTGACATATTATCCATTAAATTTTAGTCTGGGATAAATTTTAGCATTATAAGATAGAAATAAACGATAAGTGTGTGAAGGTGTTATTTTTAATGGTGATGGATATATGTACTTGTGTGTTATAATATCTTAGTGGAAAGTTAAGAATGTATTAGTGTAATATAAATTACTCAAAAACAAAAAAGGGGATTTGTGGGAGAAACATGATGAATGTGTGAGCAATTTATATTGTGTGTGGTACTTTTATAGACTTTTATAAACTTTTACAAACTTTTACATAGTTTTATAGGTACTATAAGTTATAGGTCCCAAGATGGCTGCGGGTGTCTTTTCAAGAACAAAGAGAAATTGGTGCCAAGAAGAAGGTGGTGTTCGATAAAGTAAACTATTGCCTTGTTATCTGTTAATAACCAATTATAAAGGTATTTGTAATGTATGTTTACAACTGGACAGTGACCTGTAACCAATTGTGTGCTTCTTGTCAGGAGACCTTGTATACAGATGCTATAAAAACCCTGAGCTATCCTAATAAATCAGACATATTTTAGATCTCATAGGTAGTGTATGTATGTCTCCAGAGCCTCCCCACCAACAGCCCTCCCTCTTCCCTATGGAAAGAAAGCGGGATCAGCACCCGTGGCACAGGATCCCCGGAATGCTGCCGGGCGGATCCGGGCCCCTTCCCGACCCCCATCCCGTGAGTTACCGGCTCGGAGCTTCCAGACACCGACTGCGATGAGGCCGATGATGACGATGATGGCAGCGATGACGGACACAGCGACC